ATGTTTTTATTTTAGTCGGCTTATAATTCCTTACTAAATGTAGTATTTAATTTCGATGTACTCCGTCTTTGATATGGTTTAAATCAAATTCCTCGTCATTATAAATATCACGAATACAAATCACATAGTTTTCTGGTTGCAATTTTCTAATTTCGGCTATGAGTAAGGTATGCTTTACGCATCCGCGCGTTAAAAGAAATGTTTAATAAAGTAAACAAATAAATATTAGGCTTCTTTTTTTTGGTAAATTTGGATACCCTTTAGATCATAATTGCTCATTATTTTATAAATTACGGTTTCATAATTTTTTAGTTTATAATTTCTGCATGCCATCTTACCAGATTTAAACTGATGATCTATAATCCGGAAAAATCGATAATCCGGAATCGCCGAAGTCCCGACGAGTCCGGATTAAAGACTTTTGACTGTATTTTGGTTTGCATAGTTTTTCAAAAGCGTATAAATAAAAAATATTTAATTATACATGCATATAATATGTTATACAAGTATATATATATACAATTTGGTACAACAGCAGGAAAGAGTTTGAATTCTTTATTATGCATATATATACCCTATCATTTTAATTTCATTTTTAGATTATAATTTAGTTTGATATGCTTTCTATAATGCTAAGTTTTGAATAAAGTATCTATTTTGTGCCACTTTTCTGATACTCTCAATAAATTTTTTGTTAAGAAATGCTCATAAATTACTGATAAACTGATTTTGTATTACAACTTTACTAAATTACCAATAATTGAAAATTTTGGGCAAATTTATTATCCCTATTAATGAAGACAAAGATAGCACAAATATGTTTGAAACTGATTAGAATACAAAATTTAACACTGCGACTACATTTGTTTTTATTTCTAAACTTTAAATCTGTTGGTATACACTGCAGAAAATTTTTAGTCTGTCACACATTTCTGATTCAGAAATATTAATACGAGAGACGAGCTTTTCAGGACATTCAATGTTTATCTCATAAATAAAATCTGTTGTCATTGTGGTGAATGTATTGCAGTTTCTGGTCATTTCATTTGAAAAATTCTGATAAATATCAATCATTATTTCTTGTAAATATCTATTCATCGCATGCATTGAATACAAGTTTTTTTTTTTCCCTTTTGCCAATTTCTATTAGCCCTTAAAATTGTGCCCATTAGTACTTTTACACCCTGTATATGAGAAGCCTCTTTTAATTCTAGATGCACAATACACCATATTAAAAGAAATCATTTATAAAGAATTTGATTTATTATGAATTTCTTATTATTTCATATTTAAAGTAAAAAAATTATACATAAATTGTTATTTAAATCTTAAGAGTTCTGAAATAATATTTTCTCAATGCAGAAATACAGTATCGAGTATTTGCAATAACATAGTACTACTTACATAATCTTATATTATTTACCAGCACTCAAAAACCATGACAGAATTTCTTTAACATGTTTAATTTGTTTCTTGAGTCACAAAATATTAATTCGCATCAATAAGTTTATTTTGGACATTTAAAAAAATCAATCAGACATTATTTACAATTTATAGCATCACTTACAAAGATGATCTTTCAAATACTTACATATAAACTATAAACAAAAATGATATGCTCCTTTATTCAGGAAATGAACTATTATAGTATCTTCTTCAAACAGTCAATGAAATATTTATTTTTGTTAAAGATACAACATGTTATGAACTGTCGGTCAAAATGATTACATTTGTGATACCTTAAAATCTTTGAAACATTTGCTATACAAAGGGCACATAACATTTATTACAAACAGTTCTCATTTGACTAACACAATATTTGCAGCTTTTAGTTTTGTTTGTTGAGGAGTTTTTCTTGATAATGTGATTTGTGGGTACCTTTCTCGTTTTGCTTGAGGCTAAATTTTGGAGGAAAGTTGGTCGACAAACACAATCAGTATATGAAGATGAAGGCTGCAAGTTTTCAGAACATTCTTTGTTTTCAGGAATCCCAATTCAACAGTTCTTTGAAAATCCAACAGAGAAACTTTGAGGTCTAAAGCAATCTTATGAAGTTTCTATATTATGAAATTAATCTTATGAAGTTTATATATTTTATTTAGCTACATAAGCAGAAATGCAATTTATGATAAGTTAAGGTTATTTTACGGACACAGACATTTTTCTTTTCTTGAGTATCTGTTGGTCATTACTGCGACGACATGCTCTTTATCAAATGCAGTATCATATGTTCCACTTTCTTTTATCTTTTTTTTTTTTTTTTTTTTTTTTCATTTTGTTTACAGATATAAGACCATTTCCCAATCTGCACTCAAGAATTGCTCCAGCCACATGGGCTCACTCAATTCCAACAAAAACACATGTGATGTAAAAAAAAGTTGTTCAAATCTATGTAATGATTTTAAGAAACTTCCACTAATCTTAAAAGATCTGTTACAACATCTCTACCTAGTCCAAGATCAGTCAGTGTTTTTGAGGATATCCTTGAATAAATATCAGAAGGATTTAAATGCTCTTCATAGGAACACAAAACACCAAACAAAGGGTTTTTCCTTTGAAAAATATTTTACTTAAATGTCTGCCAAAGTAAGGTATCATTTGCTCACCTATAGAAAGATGTGTTGAAAAAAAAACCACATGTAGCATGAAAGTGCCATTTAAAATATTTAAATAGGAAAGAACATTAGCCAGTTTTTCGGTTTTATCCAATCCTTAATAAATTATAATGCTTCATTCAGGTTTAAAAACCATTGCCTCGAATATTTGTTATTTTGGAGCAGTTGTTTTGTGGTATCTGTAAAAGAAACTATCACTATCTATGAAAATTTGTGTATAATAACAAAGATACTGCTTTGAACTGATGTTGCATTTTCACAACATTTAAAAAAATGCATCTTTTTACCAACAAAAATAAAATATTAACCTTACCTTTTAATTCCATTATACAGTCTAATGTTTCTAGAAGACTTGCATTAAAATTATTTGTTTGGTGTTGCTTTCTATGAGATATACTCAAAAGAAAAAGCTATGCAAAAAAAAAAAAAAAAAAAAAAAAAAAAAAAAAGTACCAAAACGATCATTTATTTTTATAAATATTTTTAGTGTGAAAGAAACAGCTTTTTTTTGCCCAAGAAAAAGTGAAATCTTATCTTCAATATACAAAAAAGCTAAAGTAAAAAATACTATGCAGAAGATGAAAGAAAATGATGCAAAAAGCAATATCAGTCATTACTGGGTTAAACAGATGAGCAGATTTTGACTTTTGTTATTGTGATACACATCAATAGCCTTCCAAAATATTATGTTTGAACAAGGAAAAAGGTCTAAGTTTTCAACAGAGTTTCAATTTAGGAACCACTAGTTAACCAGTTTAGAGAATTTAATCAATTGTATTGAGTGAGAGAATTAATTAGACCAGTTGTTTAAAATTTTATAATTTTATGAAAGTCATAGTGCATAATTACTACATTAGACTAGCTCTTTTCCAAAACTCCCATTGCCTTCCAACTCTCCTAATGGCAAGGATATATAAAAATCAGACAGAGAACCATTCGAGTGAAATCAGCTTGTGATAGAATTCAAGCAATGAATGAATTTTTGCCTTTGCTGAAGAGCAAGTTCATAATTATGGTGTCTTCCAAGCTCCAAAATCATGAATTGAAAGCAAGAGTTGAAGACAATCAGCATATTCATTCTTACGGTAAAGAAAATTACACAAAGCTTACACATGCACAAAGCTTACACTTCTGAACTGAAATTTTATCTGGGACATGCTGCATTCGCTCTCCTTTTTTTTAATGTGTACTAGTTAAATCACTTTTTCTGCTTTTTTTTTCTTACCGTAATATCTAGTGAATGTTCTTCAAGAACAGGCACCAAGTTATGTTTGGCTGCATATACCAAGATTAAAGAAATGTTTAACCGACCACTTTATTACTGCAATTACTTCTTTATGCATCTCCCTATCAAAATCATCTAAATTTTTACCTGCACACATATGCAGACGTGTGAAATAATTTGTAATGTTATTGGCAGATGCAGATGTTGACTGATAACAGCCGATTCATAAAGAAGTAACTGCATTAGAGATATTACCAGTCACGTTGATTTTAAAATTCTTTCACCCTCATTGAAAAGCACTTTTTTTTTTAACAAACACATATAAATTGGCACGATAAGGTCCTGCTCTTGAAGAACTTGTTTGGTATTTTTGATATTTTAGAATTGCATTTTAAGTAGCAGCCACTAGCAAATTAGCAGCAATGAAGACAGAGTGAGAATTTAACAGTTTCATGATGGGTGGGAATGAGTTAATTTTGGTTTGCTTTATTTTAACTGGTTAACCAAGAACTTCTTAAAATTTTTATCGGCTGAAGTCTTATGGTACCTGATTAATAAGCATTATGCAAGAATCATATGACATAGACCAAATTTGAAATGATGCAGTCTAGAGAAGTTTATTATAAATGGTTACTATTATTAGGACAAGAAGGAATAATCCAAATTAAAAGAGACAGTTAAGGGACTATTGCAAATTAAAATCAAAATTTTGCTTTACATATATTTTATCTTACTCACATAATATATACCACATAACCAAAAATAGAAAATAATTACATTGCATGAATGTTAAAGTTCGTATTTAAAAAGTATTCATGGTTTTAAGTTGCATACAAAAGAATACTTGACAAACTGAGAATATTATTAAGAAATATTTCTGAAATACTCTCTAATTTAAATCAGTTTATTAATTATTAATAATAATTTAATTTTACCAATAATAATTTAATAAATTAATAATAACAATTTTAATTTTTGACATCTTAAAATTGAAAAATGTATCCACTGCATAAGTTAAGGAAATTTTGAACTGAGGAAATTCAAGGAAGGAAATTCACGTAACTGTTAAGGAAATTTATGTAACTAATTAGTTATATGAATAACTGATTTTAATATGTAACAGAGAATTCATGTCGATGTTTATGAAACAAACAACATACCATGTATCAGTAGAAAGCGATTTCAGTGCTTTTTTCAAAGCTTCATTAGGATTTGGATATGATGCAACTTCATTTGATGACTCATCAAATAGAGCTAATGAACTGGCAGCTAAATTATACTTTGAAGTTTGAGAATTTTTTGTTGAACTTTGATTTCTGCAATAATTAAGAAATGAAACTTCGCATATTAAAAAAATTCTGATAAATAAAAATTATGAAAAATATACATGAACACTTCAGAAGAATTTTTGTGCATATTAAGAAAACAGCAATTCCATCTATCAGTAACATATAAGAAAAGAAAGACAAATTAGACAGCTCTACAAATAATGAAAAAGAATAATAGCTACATAAGGAAAATGCATATGTAACCTACAATTAAAATTAATTCCAGATTTCAGATTTTATCAACTAAGAGCTGGATTTAGGACATAGTGGTAAATCTTCTCAATGCAGGCTTGAATGATGCAACCAAACATGGGGGACGACAATTATTACTTGTACAGAGGAGTCTTATGCTTATTCTGATGTTGTTATTGGGTCGGATTCACGGAAAATGTATGCTTGAAGGCTTAACTATATCGCATCGTGATCAAAAAGAGCTAGATTCTTCTCTTTTTATTTTCGAATCGCCGCGCAGACGGTATAGTGGTAGGCGGTGCCTGACTGCGATACCGAAGGGCCCAGGTTCGAATCCCGGAGAAGGCATGGATGTAAAATTGTCTGTACCTTCATTGGAGGTAACAATGACCGCCTATTAGGTGCCTCCACAATAAAGTGGCCACCAGTTCTGGCCTTAGGGGTGGCCAATGCCGTTAAAGGCAAGTGCCCGCCATTAAGGGGGAAAAAAATCGAAGCAACACCTTCTCCGTTAAAACTTCCTTCAGTATTTACATACTAAGGATTATGTTAATTTTATTAAAAGTTCAATTTTGAGTTAAACTTTCTGTCCTATCGCTTCTTAATTTCAACTTACCAGTTCCGGCCAGAACGTAGTTTTAGAATCATGTCTGAATGTTAATGAGGAAGAGGGGTATTAACCGCGAAGTTCAACTGTCTTAGTGAGAGAGATACCAGATATTCTGGTTAGCACGCGTCCGCCTTTTTAGGCTACTCTCTCGTAAGCTATTATTACGCTCGGCCGTACGTTAGGTCCTTGATAGCTTCGCAGTCAAATAGCGTTAAGGGGCCAACTCCGTTAAAATCTTGATAGCTTCGGCTATATCTTTTTAGTTAAGATTACTCAAGTTTTACTTCTTAGTTTCCTAAGTTAAAGCCCCAGTGTCGGCTTTATTGCACAACTCCAAGACGGAGTTTTGTTAAACTTTAGTTGGAATAATAAAGGGTTATTTCACCCTTCTAACTTGTTGTTTTCTACCTCACAAACTCAAGCAATTATTCGCTTACTAGTTCTTAAGATTCTTCACATTCATCTCTAACTTAAGAGTATACATTTGGGAATCCTTCATCTGTTTCTAGTCTTTCTCTATTCTGATTAGTGACGAGTTAATCATTTTATCTCTTTTTATTGGTCTGCTGGAAAAAGAACTTTTTTTAGCCCAAAGAACGTTAGCCCAGAAGGACTATTAATTTCGTTTTGGCATTTTGCGTTCATTCACTATAAACGGCGAATCGCGTTTTACATTGTTGCTACCAAGTATTAGAGCCCTGTATTATATTTACAGAAATTAAATAATGAAGAATCTGCATAAATGTATGTATGTTTCTCGCATTGTGATAAAACAACGGTACCATCAAATTTTGAATAACGTACGTCTAGGCCCATCAAATTTTGAATCAGGCCCATCAAATTTTGAATAACGTACGTCTCCACCCGAGTACAGGCAACTGGAAGCCCAAGTTTGCAATTTGGACTTCGTTGGGAACTCAATGATTTCAAAGCGAGCAATGGTAACACTGTACGAAAAAAAAAAATACATTTTTATCTCCAGCGCGCGAGACTGTGTATCAGAAATTCTAAAGCTAAGCGTTTTTAAATATTTCTTTTATATTACTGTTGAATTGAATTTTATGGTTTAAGTGGAAAGAACGTGATATTTAATGAATAAAGGTAAAATACAAAACGTTAAAAAAGCGCCCCTTTGGGCGTAATATAAAATCTGAAAGCTTGCAGATCCCCCCTTTAAATCTATTATCCTTTTAAATAGTACATTATACCGTACATTCAGGGCTTAAATTCAGTCGGAGGCCACCTGAGCCATTTCTTAGTGTCTGAGTGAAATTGTAATTCTAACGGCAGCTCCAAATAAGACGAGGTCCGAATTATTTTAATTAATAGTTATTTTATTCATTTATTTCTTCCTTCCTTCCTAACGGTCTTCCAAAGAGCTCCGGCACATTTAATACTAGAAATTAAGCTCTGGGTAAGGATTAAATTTACAACATGTATTCTGCAACAACATTACTATCAAATGAAATTAAACAAACAGTATATAGCAATAAATAAACAATTTTTAAATTTTTTTTATCAAACACAGTCAAAGGAATTTGAACATCTGCATATTACAGAAATGTAAAAGGTAGTTACAAGAATTTGAAAATCAAACACTTACTGTGAAAATTTCCGCATTGTACTGGGAGTCTTTAAAGATGAAGACCGCGAAAGAGGTTTTGCAGAACCTTCAATGAAATCGGGGGAAAAAAATATTGTCAAAAAAAAGAGGAAGACATATATTGCAATTTAATTACTTCGATTCAACTTAACAGCTTAAAAATGTTAAAAATGGGTATCTTTGAAGTCTGAAATGTTTAGATTTCTCAAAAAATCTAAATTTAACAAAAGAGAAAAACAAGTAGACAGCATATGCTTCAGAATGGGATTTTTAGGCCTGGGTTTTTCCATCTACAACGGATTTTTTTATTATCATCTTGACTGATAAATTTTCATCACAAAAATAACTCCTTTTCTGACTTTTTTTCGGAAATTTTAAAGTCAAATTTTTTTATTTCTTGTAAATTATATAAAACAGTTTACAACTGTCTTAACTGTATTCTAGAAATATTTATTACAATTTGTTATATTTCAAGTACTAATACAACATACTAAAAGTGTAAAAGGATTTCAAATTTTCCAAGAAAACTGCCGTCGACTCCACATCATAGACGCCAACGTCAGCAATGGTGCCGAGCTCGAGCGATATGGACTACGGAATGGGACAGGGTCGCGTTCCCAGATGAGTCACGCTTCTGTTTCTCCAATGATAGTCGCCGCGTACGAGTGTGGCGTCGATGTGAAGATAGCTTCAGTCCGGCAGCAATTATGGAACGCCCTACCGCGGCATCAAGGTTTGGGGCGCAATTGCGTACGATTCCAGGTCACCTCTTGTTCGTATTCAGGCTCAACGATACGTGGATGATGTGCTGCGGTCGGTCTCCCCTACTTTCAAGGAGTGCCCAGTGCCCTTTATCAGCAGGATAATGTCCGACCACACACTTCTCCCATCACTTAACGTGCTCTGCAAGGTATACAGATGCTTCCCTGGCACTGTTCTCTCCTGATCTCTCACCAATCGAACACATTTAGGATGTGATTGGACGCCGTTTGCAGACTCTGCCATTGCCGCGTTCAAAAGACGAACTGTAGCAAATGGTTGACATGGAATGGAGAACCATTCCTCAGGACACCATCCGTAGTCTCACTGACTCAGTACGTAGACGTGTTGCTTCCTGTATCGCCGTCCAAGTTGGTCCTACGTAAATTGCATAAATGCAAGGCATGATCATAGGGCCTACAAATCACATGCGAAAGAAGTCTCTTCTCAAATATCGAAGATTACCAATTAAATTCGTTAAAAACCTAAAATAATTAGGTCTGATTATTAATAAAAGTCTTTCTTGGATACCACACCTTAAATATATAAAAAATAAAACAAGTATTCTAAACAATAGCATGAAACGCACTACTAATAAAAACTGGGGAATTTTTTCTACACTTCTTAAAGAGTGGTACAAAACTCTTAATCCCTAATTTTTCATTATGGCTCTGGTATTTGGGCAACAGCAATGACAAGTTACGAACGCCGTATAATGAATTCGTTGCAAAAACCACAGCTTCTCCAAATTAGTACGTCCTACCGAAAGACAATGACCTCAGCATTGCAAAGCCTTACAGGATTTCCAAACTTACATTTAACAGCCGAAAGAGAAAGTATTCTAACGAAAATTCTACGCTTTAGAACAGACTGCAAACTATGGGACACTACTTTCTTTTACTCTGACTGTGAAGCTAAGGTATCTGAATATTTGTGCCAGGCTTCGTAATTTAATCGACAGGAATATATCTTTACTGATCAACTACCTGATTCAACTACAGATATAGTTATTTACATAGATGATTCTCATAAGGAAGTTTGAATTGAATGTGGATTATGCATACGTTATAATAACATCTTTCAATGGCGAAGAAGACTGCAAAATGAAAACGCCATATTTCAAGCAGAATTGGTTTCACTAAATAAAGCTATCAACTTATCACTCCACAACTTAACACACGTTTCTCCCATCTTGTGCAAATCTGTAGCGACCCACAATCAAGCTTAACAGCTATAAAAAATTATAATTGCAGAAATCAAATAGTCTTTGAGATTCAAAAACTGGTTCTTAATCTTTCCCTTCAATAAAGGTTAAATCGTTACTGGATACCCTCTCACACTGGAATTGAGGGAAATGAGTGTGCTGACTCACTAACGAAATAAGATGCAACGGTACGCCTCTTCCTTCTTACTCACTTCCGCTACCAGTCTCATACCTGAAAAGAATAGCTTGCAAAATTTTGTGAAGCAATCGCAAAACCGTTGAAACACCTCGACAACAGAAAGACTAACTTTCAATTTCTACCAAAGGCATCCATGGATATGCTTTCTTACTCTTCAGCACTTACTACTTTCTTAACAGGTCATGGCCCTTTTTTTTACATATTTATACAGATTTGGACTTTCAAAAGCAGGCCTGTATGGCCTTGTTGCCAATGTGGGCAACAACGCCATTCAGACCATTACGCCTTCTCGTGTACTTTACTAGCACTTTTCATCTAAGCAAACCTTTAGACCAATATTGGAAGCAATGGACCTTGCATATAATGAATCGTCCAAGTGCGCTTAAAAAAATAGTGAAAATTTTGCACTTTTGTAACACAACCAATGTTTAAATTTCAGTACTTGCTTATAATTATTTTAAGAGTTATTCACAAAACCCATTTATATAAATTTCTAGCTTCTAAAGCCACTTCTCGGACTCCCGAAGGTTTTCTAATGAGCGTAGATTGACATTTCCTTTCACTTGCTGGATTACGTAATCCTTTGATTTACTCTTTCCTCAATTTATTACATTTGTGTTAGATTAATTAATTTTGGATACGCTCATCTACAGTTGGTTTCTTTAATAGAAAATTAATGATATGACTTAGTATTATTTGCTTATACTTCAGATCTATTCAATGCCTGTAAATTGATTTTACTGCAGACATTGTGTTTTAGCAGGGAAACTCATTCAATAGCTTGAATTGATATAGTGAACATTGGATAACATGGTGGTATTAACTTATAGAAAACTTTTTGAAACTGGTTGAATTTGTTTGGAAATTGAACTTGTACGCTTGTATACTTTAATATAGTTGAGTTCGGGTTTTAAATCAGTACAATGATGTATTAACTGATTTTTATGTAAGTATTATTTCATATATACCCCACTTTGAGAAAAACACATTTTTGAAACAATGATAAATTGTTGACTTTTAATTATTAAAGCTGGTAGAAGAGTTAAAATATTACATTCTTCTAGAAAATCTCTGTTGTGTTACTATGTCAATTGTATTACTGATATTTTGATACAACATTATACCTTAAACTTTTAGCTGAAATTATGTACTTTGATTGCTACAGTACTTTGAATGTTACTTTGATTGATATTTTGACTGCTATGGTATATGTGTGCTATTATTATCCTTGAAAATTTATGTATTATAATGCCTATTGTATTACGGAAATTTAGATTAATTGACCATCTTTTTTTTACGAACTATGCTATTAACAAATTGTAGCTTTTAATAGAATTACTGTAATATGATCGTTCTGGTGTAAATGTGCTATTACTTACAAAATTTGTACTCTACTTGGAAGTCCGTTTTACCATGTGATATATTACTAATAACATTTAGCTGAATTCTGTGCCCTTAAAATAAGACCTTATGATTATTACAATAATGAACATCATATGCAAGTAATAGATCTTTTTGGCATGGAGTACTAAGTACAGAACAATGGACAATGATAAATAATATATTTGTTAATAATAGATTAATGATATGATTTCATAAACAAGTTATAGATTATTTGCCATCGAGTATTAAGTACAGGACGATGATGGACAATTTAAATAATATATTTTCTAATAATTAATTGGCAATATGATTTCTTACAATAACGAACATCATATACAAGTAATTGACTTTTTGCCATTGAGTACTAAGTATAGAACAATGATGGACAATGTTACATAAAATATTTGCTAATAATTAATTACATACGCAGATGATAGACTATATTTCATCTCTTCAATGATCAACCAATTAGTATATCCACTCTCTCTGTAATATATGACGGATAGTTAATAGCAAAAGAAATATTGTTTGACTGAAAGTTTCTTTTTTATTTTCATGTTATTAGCGATATTTCGCAAAGATGTTTATGTACTTATAATTTGTGACTTTGCAAAATTTTTTGAATTTTAAACAATAAATGCCGCTAATCTGTCGGGTTCAACTTGGCAGTGGCGGTAGCTGGCAGTAGATCCCTTCTGTGTAGGCATCATTCCGTTAGGTTATATCTTTAGGTCGGAAGCCTACACAGTGGTGCCAAACCTACTGAGCCGAAGCTGTTCTCGCTCTGTATTATGCATATCATTTCGAAAGAAAGAACACTTATTGTTCGTTGCTCTCTCTCTCTCTCTGTTTGCCGAGTTTCATCACTTTCTGGCCACTCCTTCTTGGTGATGCATTTTCAATGTCGGGTAGTAGTGTAATAAAGAAGGTGCATCTAATTGTTTTTGTAGTGAGATGAAATTAAAGAATGTTAATAAATTGATGTCACTAGCGCATAAAAATACGGTTAAACACAAAAAAGATGAAAATATTCCAAAGACAAAATTAACAAAATATTCTTCACAAAAGGTAAATCTGCAGAGAAAAAAAGAAATAGCAAAAGCAGAACTGTTCTTGTTTCTGGGCATAATATTACATTTGCACTATGGGATCATGTTACAGAAGCATGTAAAAAGCATTTCATGATAGCAAGATTGCAAAACAAATTGAGATGAAGACGACTAAAGTGAAAAAAAAAATTATCTTACGTAAGATAGATAGCGTATCATGAAAAAACATGCATTTGCAGAAACAATAAAATTTTAATCATAAAAGTGCACATATATTTGCACAACAAGTTCTACTTAGTGTTAGATATTTTGATATTAAAACATTTTGAAGTTGTAGATGTGTTACTTGACACTGCTTAGGACAAAAATAGTACTAAGTAAGGTCTTATGAAGCTATAAAAGATTTTTCCATAGAAAAAACATCCCAATAAGAAATCTCGTTGGCTTTAGAAGTGAGCATTGAGCCACTGTGATGGATACTAAGAGTAGGTTCCAGTCATTGCTAAAAAAGGTTTACCATCAGTATTTATTATGGGATTCATTCGGCATCCTTTTGTATTATGTGCTAGTTATTCAGTAAAGGTATTACCATCATATCTAGAAATGTTTATAGAAGATATTTTTTATAATTTTTCTGATAGTAACAAAAGATTAAACAAATTCAAGACAGTTTAAGATTAGTTAATAGACAAATTGTTGTTCAATACAGATAACATGAATATAACTCTATAATGTTGTTTAAAACTACTGTGATTTCTGAAAGCGATCAATATTCATTAGACATGACTCAAAGGCATCATTTCAGTGAAGATCAAAAGTGGTGTTTAACTCATACAGGGTTCGTAACCACATTTTAGTTAAGAAAATAAGCACTTTTCAAGCACATTTTAAGAAAAAAAAATAAGCACCTGTCTAATTACATTATACACAACTGCATAACCTTAAAAGAAAAATTAGACTTGCAATTTAAAATATGAGCAATGCAATATTTATTAAGAGAATAAGCATTGCCTCAACCATGGAAAACAATTAACTTTTATTTATTTATTTATTTATTTTTTATTATTTTAAATGACAGTTCAATTTACAGAATTAGTTTACAATGAGAGAAAGAAAAACTATGCAGAACTAAACTATATTACAAGATTTAATGATGAAATTTCAGTTCAAAATATAGAAAAAAAAAATAATAAGCCATATTAATTGTATTCGCTTGGCACCTAATAATAAATACATTTTCCCACTCATAGCAATATTTAAATAATTTAACTTAAATCAAAATTCTGAACATTTTCTAAATTTTCATTGCATAAGAGTTTTCCCTTAACATATATTCCAAGCAAAGTAATTTAAGTAAAAAAGAGGAACATTTCTGAAATCAGGAGACGGGAAATTGCTTCATGCAGTCCCTTTAACAGTAAAAGCTAACTAACCCGCATACTCGGAAATTGTCGAATATTCCGTATAGTCGAGCGTAACTGGAAAAAGAGGAAGGGGGGGGAGAGATCGTAGCCGTTCTTTAGATTTCTCGGCTAAATAAATGATTTTGACATTTCGATATGTGCATCATATAAAAATAAACCAACGGAACTGAGAAATATTCTGCTTAGAAAGCACAGTAAAACTCTTTTAACTGTTCATAAATAAATCTCAGACTGAACATCAAAATTAATTATCTCTGCAAAATATAGCAAACATTATTGCGCAATATGTGCGGCGTAATTCTTCCATACGTGATATTACGCAATCGGAATCGGAATCAACAGCTGTCGGTATTTGGAAAATACAGAACTAAACAAAGGAAAAGAAAGAGACTTACTAATCTGGGGTGTTTTTGATTCTAATTTTGAACAGACTGTCTTAAATTTCCGGAATAGAATCATTCTTCGCTTGGGTTGGGTAGACCGCAAAAACTTTTAGTCCTATTCAATCCAGATTGAACAGTGACAAAAAAAAAGGGGGGGTCCGCTGCTTCAATATTAGAGGTTTTGCGGTGAAAGGGGAGAACCTCCCAACCTCCGTACTTAATGTATTGGCAAAAAAAAATTTTGACTATTCGATTACTTTCTTTTTATTTAAGCCATTCCGAATATTATTCCTTAGAAAGCTAATCTGTGTACAAATACACCCATTTTTGGAAGTTTATCTACACTTCAGCAGCTACTGCAACTATATTATTATAAATGTTCATACATATGCTCATAATATAAGCATAAAGATCATAATAAACACGAATATGAACTGACCACGCGGAACGAGAATGCAAATTATTAAAATCTTGATAGAAATTCAAAACGGGTGTAATATTTGGGTGGGAGGAAAAGAATACCGAATGTACCGGAATTTTTTACGGTTTTCGCAATTCTTTGACCAATAGTGCACCTGTCTGTACTCTCGCGCGCACCATAGGTTATGTTAATGCACAGAAAGGGGGAAAAGCTATTTCCGGGAGTATGATTCACCATTTGACGTTCCATATAAGGAAGAAAAGTTGTTTATTTAGTTTCGGTTTGGTACGGGGGAAAAATGCGCGTTCATTAAAAAAAAGCACTAGAAGCAAAAACGCCCACCAGCGGCCGAGCGGTAATGTCGCTGAACACTGGTAGTTCGGTCCGAGAATCCCGCGAACGGACTGGCTGCATGGGTGTTTTCGTGGTTTTCCCCATGTGTAACGTGTATACGAGCCAGTTTCCCTTAGAAAGTCCTCCACGAAAGGCATCCCTCCCTTTAGGCAGATAGCCCTAGTGTGCTTTGCCATAATTAAATACACCACACCACAACAAAAAATAAGCACTAAAAACAAAAAATAAGGGCTTTAAAGAAAACGTAAGCATCTATAAGGGCCATTATATTTTATTTTCAAACTTAAGGACTTATAAGCACTTGTAAGGACCGCTACGAACCCTGTCATAGACTTGAGGGGGATAGGCATACACAAATGGAGGTCGCCCCAAGATCCCAATGTAATATCCCAAACTGTTACATCAAGTACATGCAACCAGATGCAACCGCTTTTTAAGCGTCAAATCATTTAGTAGACAGTCTGGTCAAGGGTGGCCAAGAGAAACAATTGCATCTGGAGATCATTTTTTGTCATGTTGACTCACAGAAGTCATTAAGCAACGCTTTATAACATTGGCCTTTACATGAAAAAAAGCAGTGGTTTATTTCACACTTATTTCTTTTTCCGAAGAGGGCCATTTAAGTTGTCATCATCATGTTCAATAAAGCCAAGAGGAACAGGATCATTTACTGAAAAATCTAGATACAGCCTAGACTGTGATCCTCTTAGTAACATTTAGACATTATTACATGGCAAACGTCGTCCTGTACCATTATTAATACAAAAATTCATGTTAATACTTAATATTTCCATTATTTTATAACCACTAGCATTAAAAATATTATCCAACTGATTATTCTCTTCCATTTGGTACACTGTAAGGTGTATTATGTGTGCTTTATAACTGCTGTACATTGCAGATTTTACACACAGATGCACACTGCAGATGACAAAATTTTAAATCCAAAAGCTTTGCATGTATTGCATCTGGTTTTTTCACATGAAATTCTTTGGGAATAAGAAATTAAGAAGATACAACATCCCATATCTGCTCCTTTTCCACAAAAGTCACTATTACACTGAGGACGTTCTTCACATGTATTACTGAGCAAAACATTCATGAATCCATTACTGGTAGCATATTGTGGTTAAAAGGTGGGACTATTTTTTAGCATATGGCAAAGTCCACGCTTTAATAGATAGTCATTCCCGGAAAGAAGAGACTCTTAAAGAATATGACTACTTTCCTAACTCGTTAGTGATTATACAATGTAACAAATTGGCTCCACTATCTTTGGCATCCCAGGGAATATGAGCAGTTACTGCCCCATATAAATTACACAAATAAATAATTCAAAGCAAAAAACTTTATTTAGTTGTCAGTTATGATAATAACTTAACCTGGTAGCTTCCCAAAATCAGTAACATACGTACACATAGACACATATAATAACACATAGACTTAGGACCTTATTGTTTAGAGTTATTCAATACTAGTATATGTCAGTGAATTTAGGTTACCAGTTATGACACAGAATAACAAATAAAGCAGAGTCTCTAATATTCTGGCCATACTGAACGCTCAAAAAACACATTAAAATAAGGAATTTTATATGTAATATATTAAGAACATGAGCAGATAGTTCTAGTTTTAAACATTACTGCTCCTCTTCAATTCTACGTAATTCATTATATGATTTAGCAACCAAGAAACCAAGAGATTTAAAACCAAGTACATATTCTAAATCACGAATACATTTGCTTTACAAATAAACTGAAAATACATGTAATATATAAATAATTTTTTTCTTAGTACATAATTTTACCTTTATTTGTAGCAGAATCTCTTCTTTTATTATTCTGAGCAACAGGGGAAGCCTTTATTTCTTTAACTGTTGTTGTATCAGGTTCAGGAATAAGGTTTGGGATATCCGTACTTTGCTTAGGAATATCAGTATTAGTATTAATGGTTTCTATTTTAGTTTGCAAAAGATCGTCTGCTTTAACATTTTCTAAAATTTTAGAGTCCACAACATTTAAAGTTGTATTTTGATTATTTTGTTCTTCATGAATTCTTTGCTCCAATAACAATTGATCACGCTCTCGAACTATTCTCCTTTCTTCAGCTTCTTTCATTATTTCTTGTTGACGTTTCAACATTTTTTCACGAGTTATTTTTGCAATCGATATATTTCCATTATCCTGAAATGAATAAATATGTATGAATTAAAGAATTATTTTATATATGCTGAACTGTGAATATCAAGAACGATTATTACAATGAATTTGAACAGATTGCCAAAGAAATGTTTACGAATCAAATTAAAAAAATATTACTTTTAACACGGATCTAAAATTAAATAAAAGTTAGCTAAGATTTTTAGTTTTTCAATACAGATCTCTCAAAAAACTTAAGTAATTTGCTTATAATTAGATACAACCTTGTAAGGATCCTAAGTTTTACTAACGTTTATTTTATTTTAAATCTTTACTATCACTTCTTATTTTCTACTTCCGGCCAGAATTAAAAGCTTTTAACTTATTTATGCAAATTTGTCTTGCTAACGCCAAGTACTTAAGTTGTGGCTTTTTGCGAAGCAAGAGAGAGAAAAGGAGTTATTAGAAGCAGGCCGCTTGCCATAGTAGTTTTACTCGGTTGCTGGTTGCCTTCAAGGCCAGAGGTTTAATCCTCGTGATAATTTTAAACGTATCGTAGTTTTAGCAGCTCTCTGTACTACATACGGCTTTTTGTTAATTTACGGCCAATCTTAAAGTAGGCACTTGTATATTAATATTAAGTTAGTTTAGTTAGAGTTTTAGTTAGTATTTTTATATTCTTACGTTCAGACCACAAGTGGTTCGTCTCTGTATTCCGAAGTTCCGGAAGGCTCTGTAAAGATAGAAAAATAAAGGGTTTCGTATACCCTTCCTGTGTGTATTGTCTACTTCACAATTTATCGAACATAGCTGAGTAAGCTCCCTGTTCCGAGTCAGGACAGTTAATGTTTCCAAAGCAAGTAAAGACGAACACGAGCCCTGATAGTGGCGCCCGACGAAGAAGAATAACCATGGCCGAGTTTTAAGAAGAACCTGTGGTGCCTGCAGAAGGGGATCAGAATCCAGAAATGCCAGCTGCCGCCCTGGAAGGATTTGGTTACATCGTACAGACCATGCGCGCATCGATGAAACCAGAAGCAACATTTAATGGAAACTCACCGGTAACCAGTTTTTTGGAAAAATTGGATGACCACTTCATGCTGTATCCAGTGCATGAGTTCCAGAAAGTCACCTTAGCTACCAGCGCTTTGAGGGGCCAAGCGCTTAATTGGTTCAAATGTATAGGCAGAAGAAGCCTCTTGGGTCAAGCGGGAAGTCCCACCTATACTTACGAAAATTTCAAGACTGCCTTAGTAAAAGCCTTCCCCTGTCGTAAGAAGATCGTGCAAATTAGAACGCAGAACTTTTCAGCATATACCAACAACGAATCGAAAATCTCTCAGACCTTTATTTTAAGAAAAATTCACGTCTTTAAACTCTTGTATGGAAACCGTCCGGATCCTGAGATAATCCAAGTGATTTTACCGAGGTTACTTCCCCAAGTACAAGACTTTATTGAATTAAGGAATCCGACTACACTGGAAAAGTTATTTGAGCTAGCAATCCAGTTTGAAAGTAGAAGAACGGCGGACATTGAAAGAAGACGCCAGTATGAGCAACAAAGCCAATTTGGTGCGCCAAGACCACAGCAAAGACAAGAACACGGCTACGGAAGCAAAGCGAATCAGTGGGCAAGGAAACCCGAATATCCAAAAACAACCGGCGAACGTCGACAGTTCAATAGTAAGCCAGAAAAAAAGTCTGAAGGCCAGCAGATAAAGAAGGAAGACATGGAAAGGAAGAAACAAAATTTAAACTAAAACGGATTTCTGCTGACGGGAGGGTGCGGAAATCCGAAGGCCAAGAAAACCCCTCTTCCTTCAAGTTAAATACAGTTATGGTGAAAAATTTGACTCTTCCGAAGATTGAAGTTTTGGTGAATAACATCCCAGCCACCGCACTCCTGGATACAGGCGCGCAGTGTTCCTGTGTGGCAGAAGATTTTTTTAGGAAGTATTTTCGTAAATACCGCATATATAATTCGGATAATACGACAGTGTTAGCTGCGCAGGGAGAAAGATGCAAGTGCATAGGTAAATTACCCTTATATATTCGTATCAAGGACGAACAAGTAAAGGTTATGTTTTTTATCGTAAAAAATTTGCAAGCACATGTCATTTAGGGATAGATTTTCTTTCAGAGGCAGAAGCAACGCTGGATTTTAATGAAGCGTCCCTTAAGCTGACGATGAAACCAGTTCGATGAAAGAAAAAACGAGAACCGCCGATGTTAAACCTCCGACCACCTGCCTAAGGAAGAGCAACAAGAAAAAATTCGACAAGTGGTAAGTGAATTTGCTTCGTTATTTAGTGATATTCCAGGATTTACTCAAGTTACTAACCATAGTATCGACACCGGAGATTCACTGCCAGTTCGCCACAAACCATACCGGTTATGATAAGAATAAAGAAAAAATTATAGAAGTGGCACATTCGAGATATGCTACGTAAAAAGATCATAACGCCCATCTCAAGTAGTTATGCTAGCCCGGTTGTTTTATGTAAGAAAAATAATGACTATCCTTTGGTAACACATCCAAAAAGGTGGCGTTTTCGCAATTGACTATCGTAAATTAAAACTCCATAACTAAATATCCGGTATATCCGTTACCTATTATTGAAGAAATTCTAAGGAACATAACTTCTACCAAATATATGACTACTTTAGACTTAACGACTGGTTATTTTCAAATAGGGGTTAAACCTGAAGATGTGCCTAAGACTGCTTTTATAACCAAGTCTGGCACTTATGCATTCTTGCGTATGCCGTTTGGCCTTTCAGGGGCCACCGGCAACATTTCAGCGATGTATGGACATTGTGTTAAGCCTGTTCTTGGAAAGTCCACATTTATCTATTTAGACGATATCATAATTACTAGTGATAATCTCGACCAACATGTACAGGATTTAAGACAGGTGTTTTCTTTATTAAATGAGGCCGGTCTAAAAGTTAATGTCGAAAAGTGCAAATTTGCAGCCCCTGAATTAAAATACTTAGGTTACAAAATATCTCAGAAAGGAATCGAGACAGACAAATCAAAAATAATCGCTGTGCAAAAGTATCCGCCGTCAAATAGAATAAGGCGAAGAAGCTCTCTTCTTTTCTAGGACTTTGTTCGTATTATAGGTCCTTTATAAAAGATTTTGCAGCTATTGCTGAACCATTGTTAAAATTAAAAAGGAAAAAGGCAAGATTCTCGTGGACGGCCGAAGCCAATAGTGCTTTCGAAAAATTAAAAGCAAGCATTAACGCAAGCCCCTGTTTTGAAATTTCCTGAAAAGGATGAGAATTTAGAAATTTCAGCGGATGCTTCGGATTATGCGGTAGGAGCGGTACTTTCGCAAAATCAGCAGCCCGTGGCATTTTTTAGCCGAACTTTAAATCAAACACAAAGAAATTATTCCGCGACGAGAGAGAGGCACTTGCAGTTCTGTTAGCAGTGCAAAAGTTCCGAGTCTATTTTGGAAAGGCGCCGATAACAGTGTATTCTGATCATGCGGCGGTAACTAGATTGTACTCAGGGAAAAAACTTATCCCCAAGGTTAATAAGATGGGCACTCAAGTTACAAGAATATAATCTGGTAATCAAGCACACCCCGGAAAGGAAAATATCGTAGCAGATGCCCTATCACGAATAAAATAGATGAAGAAGGTAATACTGTAAAGGTGGCAATGCTCACAGCATGTACAATAAATTCCCGAGAAACTGTAATAACCGAACTGGGTAAGGATCCTGAATTTGGAAAACATTTATGAGTATTTAAAGGATCCTGAAAATTTTAGCCACCAAGATATTGTGGCGATAAGAAATAGGGCGGGCCCATTACGAACTAATAGATGGTCTATTATTTTATACAAAAACTACGAATTCCAACAACGAATTTCGACCTGTTATCCCAGCTAGTCTTAGATTAAATATCCTGCAGGAGTTACATGACAGCCCTTTAGCTTCTCATGCTGGTATTCGAAAAACTATCCAACGCGTACGCGAGGCAGTCTATTTTCCTGAACTGCAAAAGTTAACAAGGGCGTATGTCCAGTCCTGCCCAACATGTCAAGCAGTTAATTATATTAATTTCCGCCCGGCCGGGTTTCTAAATAGTATTAAATCCGAATTTCCAAATGAAATAATTGGCAATGAAATAATGCAAATTAATGGCATCGATTTATTGGGCCCTTTCCCCAAAAGTCAGTTAAATAAAAGTCGCTATCTCCTTGTTATGGTTGATCATTTTAGTAAAGTGGACCGAAATTGTTCCCTTAAAACGAGCCTCCGCGAAATTAGTTACTGATTCTATTTTAAATAAATATATTTTAAAATACGGGGCGCCCCTAAAAGTTATATCGGATAATGGTCCTCAATTTGTAAGTAATATATTTGAAGACATGTGCCAAAAACTGGGCATACGTCATTTAAAAATGGTCCCGTATCGGCCGCAATCAAATATAGCGGAACGGGTAGAAATATAGTGAAAATTATCCGTAGTTATGTTAAAAATTTTCATAAAAGCTGGGATAA